CAACAAGAACGTTGGGTTTTTTTTTTTGTCCACAAGTCTCTGGTGGAAGCTAACCCTAACAAAGGCACTTTCTCCAAGTTAAACGGCTACGTTATACCTGTCCTCTCTAAAGCTTGATACCCATTGTCACATTACAACACGAACGCCATGCAGGAGTGGCAGGGTGGTTAGCGCACCACATTGTTAACTGGACTCTTGATTTCGATTCCTAGCCATGGCTAACAGGAGTTAGTGATGATATCGGAACTTGTTCTGGGCCATCCCTTTCCTCTCATCAACCCACACCAACCACTGTGGTAAAGTACAAACAACCCCTGCGACTAACACTGTGCGGGAGGCGTTAAGCCACCCGTGGATTTGCAAAGCTCTGTAAAACTATCATGATTAAAGCACACGCTTGTAACGAATTTCCTTGGTTCTTTTGGTAAAGTCACGTGACCTTACCGAAAGAACCAAGAAGATGAATCTCTGCAGTCACGAAAGCTTAAAATCGAAATTGTAACGCATTGTTCACATGCCGGGTTATGAGCAATAAGTAACAATAATCTGTTCTATTTAACATGTTCCAGTTTTTTGCAGCATTAAATACAGACGTTGATTGAGTACTAATTCTAACATTGGTTTTTAATTTGGGTTTAATTGAGCAGGACTTTTTAAAGTTCCGATTTATAACTTCTCAAGTGTAAGGCCATAACTTAAAAAAATACTACAAAAAGCTTCGGGTTATGCCTTAACCTTATCCTCACAATTAAGGCTTTGGCTTAGGATATGGCCTAAATACATGTGACCTTGATCACATGCCTGACCAGATATGACAAATGTAGAATGCACTTAAAGGAATGGTTTGTTTTGCTTTATCTCTGTTAATACTGACAGGTGATGTCATATATTTTCTTGTAAAAAAATACCACATCAAGGTTTGGCTTGTGGCCACAAGAAATAACGAAAATCATGCTGAGTCTACTCCCAGGAATCGGTGGCATCAGGCTACTAAAAAGGCATGTGTCATGGAAGAAGTGTGTTCATCGGCTTGGGAAGCGTTGAATACGATTGAAGGAACTGTTTTGGCCCCCCAAGGCTCACAGATGTTCATGTTTTTAACAAAGCTGGTGCACATGAATATTTATTACCTCTGTGTAAGCGTTACTTCTCGTACCGCGATCGGTGATGAACGTATTAGCATTCATCGTAAAAAAAATGCATCGTTGTGCACGTATTACTACTATTATCGTTATCTACAATTAAAGTATATACATTTTGGAACATCACAAGTAATGCTGAGTAGCACTTATAAGTACCAATTATTTGGGAAATACCAACAATATGTATATTCTATAAAATGGCAATTATAAAATAATTATATAGAGGCTGGTTTGATGTTGGGTTTTGATTCGATCTAAGGGTCTAAAATATACATTATAATAATTTTGCAAACCTCAGCAGATTTTTTTGAGTTGTGATTGCGCTAACATAAAAAAAACAATTCGGATGATTAAGAAAACATACATATATGAGACCATGACAAGGTGAGTTTATAAACATTTTGTTAAATGTCTAATTCATAAATTTTCTTGCTGTGGTTTTCACACCTGATGATGATTGCATGTGTTGCAGTCGAAACGTCGTGAGAATTGTATTGTTTTATATTTTTATTATTTTATTGTTTCCCTTCTACGTGACTTTACCGAAAGAACCAATAATATAATAAATAGCAGTTTAAAATAAATAAATGCCACCTTTACTGCATAATCATTTGCAGTTCTAACTTTCTTTCTTTGCCTTTCCAGTTACCAAAAGTGATTTAATGATGTGACTGAGACATTGAATCACGTTTGGTTTTTTACAAAAACACTTTTTTGACATCGACCATGTGTGAGTGGAAATAAAAAAGAAATCACTGCCGGTGACGATGCCTCCCATCCGCTTTTCACTCTCAAACCTCTGGGATCGTATTCTCTCCTCCGAGCTGCAAGCAGACAGCCGTTCGTCAACCTTCTGCCGATTTCACCGATTCCGCATGTACCCCCAACCCATGGCCATCACACGCCGTGTTTTTCGCTGAACAGTTATGTCCCTCGAAAGGAGGGCACCCGTCAAGCCAATGAAAGAAACTTGGTCATCTTTAAGTTTTCTAAATTCAGCTCACAGTCTTTGTCCCGTGCATCTTTTTTTTTTATTTTGATTTAATTACCCATTCCACGCGCCGGTATCGGCAAGCGGCGCATCCGGAACTTGGGCACGCACATCAACGTGTACGACTAATTTGAAATCTGTTTTTGTTTTCATTCTCCGTATATATGTAAAAACTTGTACGAACGAAAATTTATTACGTGTTTTTTTTTTAATCGCAAGATGAGTTCTGAATCTCGATTAGGCAAAGATGGTGGACTCTGCTGTAAGGTGGTTGTTGTTCTACTTATCCCCATCAATCGACTAAACAACTCTTTTATTTTGTTTCCTACAAAAGAGCACTTCTGTCACATCTGTTTACATCAAAGGCTAAGCATAGGGACTATTTTAATATTATCAATTTCCAGAACTATTTTGAAATCATCTGCCTAATCAGATTAGGTCCATCTACCGTGTGTTTGTTTGTTAGCCAGGGATTAAATAATAAGTAAAATCCATTTGTTATGCAGGCAATGTGCCTGTGACAACAATAGCAGGTAGAATCTGGAAAACCCCGTGTAAAATGCTTCATCAAAGATGAATCAGTCATATTATAGCAACGCTGCCATCCCGAACCACCCTAGAATGGAGGCGATTGTCCCTAACGTGACAACACCACAATCATTCCCCTTCAAATATCTTCTTTTCACAGAAAATGGAATAGGAAAACATTCATCAGAGGCGCTGGAGGCCATGCGATAAGCGGCTATAGAAATTAACTTACCAGAAGTTTATGTGACCGCAATGCACACTATGCAAGGCAAGGTCATCTTTAAATATCCTATTATATTAGTGGCCATCTTTAAAGCATTGTTTCTATAAGGGGTCAAAACAAAACAGCTTAATTCCTTTCAGATGGGACTTAGAATATCACAAGATTTCCTTATCGGCTGATAATGTCGACTGCATTTTGAGCTTTCATTGGTATGCACAGCTCAATTTTTTTTATGAATTCATTTCATCTGTGTAGCCTTGGGACAGCAGAATGCTGTGGTGGTTTTTTATCTTCTTTTTTTTTACATCAATTTTGGCCAGTCAACAGAGCATGAAATTAAATGTGAGAAATCATTGTGTTATAACAGAACATTTGAAAATATCACATACGAACACAGTCCAGACTTACCGTCATTAAGCCCTTCTGCTCAGTAGGCAATGTTTTGAGCACTTAATGTCCTTAAGCCTTGCTGTAGCAGGAAAATTACAGGGCTTTCAATGGTGGTGTTTTCACAGTTAGACAGCAACTATTTGATAATTGTTTATCGTGACCAACATCGTGTACGTGCGTCTCCTGCTGCTTCGCCACAGTGAATCAAACATCCTCAGAAAGCCTTGTTAGTGTGCGCGTGTGTAGCCACAGAAAGAGCACGTGTACTTTTTCACCTGAAAACAGGTGCAATAAAGCAAAGTCGTACGAAGTCATATTTTCTTGAAAATGCATTTTCATAAAAACTGGATTTCAGTGTGCATGTTGAGGTAGTGTGTCAATTGTGCCTGGATACCATTCCGCATTTTGCATGTGGTTTGTAAGGAGATGCTGTATGCTTTGTCCAACCAACACTCAGATTAAAGGTCAAAAAATGCACGCAACATTTCCCTTTCTTTGTCTAAAAACATAGGACACTTATTAAAGTGAAATGAAAAAGTCAACCTTTATTAATCATGTAAGTCCATAATGAATATGTATGTGGTTACGCATTTGCTGGCTTTGCACTTACAATACGCCACTGTTAATTATGGTAATTATTTTGAGTTATGAATATAGTTTAAAAAATATGAACCTTGTTGTTACAGGAAGGCAATTAAAATTAAAATGTTATGCACTGCAGTGAAAAACTGAACACTGGGATATGGTCTAATTTTTTACTTTTTATTCATGATCTGTAAATACTTTAAACACTACAGATATTAAAACCATTAAAATATGAACTTAGCAAACACTTGGTTTGGTAAATGCTGCAGATGCCAAGATGCATAACTAAATAAAAGGACATTACACATATAAAAGTACATATTTGTATTTACATTTCACATACTATGTGTTATTTCATGTAAATATCAATATATGGTAATACCTATTAGTTTATGCACATTTTATTACTGTGCAAATTTGAATATATTACAGAACAAGATATTAAAAGAAATTACAGTGAATATATAAAATATTTCCCATTGTATTACGATAAAATAACACTCTTGGCATCAAGGCCCTTTATATTGCAAACACAGCTCGCAATTCTTGGCAATGTATTTTACAAAACGTAACGCATTCATTTTATTTCAATACTCTTTAAGAAATGTCAGTTCGCGATGCATACAAGGTTGCATACCACGCTATCAAGTGGATGCTTTAAAAAAATAACCTCATAAAACGTGTAGCATCATCACATAAACTTGTACACACAGCAAGAATGCAGTGTTTAACTTGCCTAACTATCCCAAAGAGATATTGTATGCATCATGAACTGACAAGTTTCCCTACCCATATTTAACCCTGTCAAAATTTGGTGCAAAAAAAAACCTCCATTGACTATCAAAAAGAATTTATAAGCTATTTATCACTGCTTTTAGGACAAAGAAAGGGCATTTTGGCGTGTTGAGAAGTACAAATGAATATTTGTTTTCAGCTTACCCAAATAAAGTAGGCTGTAGGGAGCATACAGCATCTCTTTAGGCATATGCAGACTGACAGCAGAATGGCAACATGCAATATAAAAAAAATATTCACATGAATGAAAAAACATGTGCCTTGACGATTGCTCAGGTGCACTCTAGAGTTTTGGGTTTGGCGGTGTTTACGCTGCAGAAAGCAGCAGGGCTTGGTGGAGACTGACCGGAGCTTATGGGCTCAGTGTCCTTCTCCCATGAGACGATGGAGATGTGTTCGCTCAGAGAGGGCGGCACGAGACAGCGGAAGACGGCCGTCTGGCCCAACATGGCTCTCTGGTCCTCCACGTGCACCGTGTACGGTTCACGAAACACTGTTTGGGAACGACAACAACGACGCAAAGCACACGCACGGGAACGTTGGCGCCGATTAGTCCTCGTCGCCGTTGAACAGTTTGGAAAATGGAAATTCAGTTTGCAAGGAAGATGAATTTGTGATTTAAAACCACCATCATATAAAACTGAATTTTCTTAAGACAAGCAGGTTGGTTGAGTCACCAACCTGCCAATCCTAAGCCAAAAAATAAAAACAAAGACCCAGAAAGTTGGAGAGATTATACATCCATAGTGAATGTATGGTCATACAAACCCCTACAGAGTTTTGGGTATTGCAACAATGAAATATTTACTGTGTATAATTAATACCTTTCATATTTATGGAAATTAAATGCTGCCGAGGCCATTTGTACTGTCACACACAACGCTTATTGCCCCAAATGACCCCTTAAAAAACGATTGAGAATGCATTAAAGCGTTTTGTTTTAGGCCTCCGTGGATGGATGTTAAATCGTAACTGGTAAATCCGCATCAGAGCAAAATCATTGACCCAAACCAACCATAAATCAATTTCCCATGGAAAGCTGAGTGTCCCGAAATTCACAATACACCCATTGGCACCCCCAGTGATGGAAAGGAAGCTGAGACACTAATGAACCAGGTCACACGATATCATGCTAGCTTGCTCGGCATCTTGGGGTTTGAGCCTGTGTCGGGCTTTCAATAACTAATGTTTTCCACTTGGTACAAAAAGAAACGTCTCACATTCAGTGGGGTTGGTGACTTCAGGCAAGATGGCTTTGATGTCGATGCCTGTTATTGTCAAGGTACTGAGCAAGCACCTCTCAAGACCTTTCGTTTTAACCTCGATGGGCAAACGAGGACAAATCACCCCGATGAGAAGCGATTCTGCTTCTTCTGGACTTAAAGTAACTTAATGACTGTGCCAACAAAACCTTTAGCATTATTGTTTGTACGGTATGCGATTCAGCTACAAACCTATCTGGATATTCCTAAGACACTCTGTAACCATCCAAAAAAAATCTGCCTTAGTTCAATTGGCCAAATGAATTTTCTCTTCACCAACGGGTCTGTGACCGTCATTGGAGAGTGCTTTTCCAGTTTCCATTTTTTTGTATCAAAATGAGCGTTATCCTATGACACAAAATTATTACAATGTTGAAGTTTAACTTTAAAATTGTATCTTTAAAATTGTCCACACTCATTTGCTAAATACTCCTTGAATTAAATTAATAAAGAAGTGCTGCTAATGATATGGGTATTTGCCGCACCCTGACATAGATATATGGAATATTAGAGTGGACCAATTTTGCCTGTAAAAGCAGGGGATTATTCATATGCAAACGTGTTCATAAGCAACTGCCTTCAATTGAAGTTATTTTTATCCTTTGGACGTGACTGTCCATCCATCTCTCCCAGCCAGCCAGCCAGCAAATCTTTTAATCTTAGTGCCCTGTTTCACTCCACCATCCTCTTACCTCCTCCGTACTGTATATCCCAAATTATATCGATTTCTCGCTGTGTCTCAGTTTCCATCTGTTTCTTTACTCCTCTGCCCCCGTTTCCATCTCTCCCTTCCTCTATGTTCCTCTCCTCTCTCCACGGTATCTCACCCAATTTCCTCCCCCTTCTCTCCCTGTTCCTCTCTCATCCCTCACCCATCTAAATCTCTCTTCGCCACTCCCAAATCCTCCCTCCCTACCACTTGTCGCTTTCGCTTGCTCTCCTCTTTCTGTTTTGCTCTTTCTCTCTCTCTCATATCTCAATTTTACACCCATTCACTCTCTCCCCACCTCATTCCTTTACGTCTCTTCCTCCCCCCTCGGTCTCCCTCTTCTATTACCCCGCTCTATCTTTCTCCTCTTTTGCCTGCGTTCGGGGATCCACAGCCAAGGTGGGGAGGGGGAGGCGTGACGTTGGGGTTGCTCAACGCTGTGGGATGCGGGTGACGTCAACGCGCAGGTGTTTGCGGTGACGTCACTTCCGCGCACTCGCACCTGGGCACGCGCCGGGTAGGCGGACAGGAATCCAAGCAGGATTCAGGTCGGGAAAAAAAGCGTTCCCAATATGGTGCGACGTAAGGCTTTGCGTGAACGTGTGCGGTTTTTTTTCTGGGCAAAGCATTAATTAACATTCACGTAAACTTTGCGGGTGAAACAACATGTTCAAAAAAACCACGCCATGAAAAGTCGCTTCTTGTAAGCAACGAAACATTGAGGAATGCTGTGTAAATAAAGCCAACCATCTTGCATTGCCACAACAAAAATCCCTAACCAACATCAACACTGCGGAAAAAAACCAATACAACGAGATTAAATTACACCTATGTTTCGTATTGCAGATTTAAATAGGGCACATCATTATTATTCCACATGCAAAACACTCTCATCAGCACTTACTGGCGACAGTGCAAGAAGATTTACCGTGGCCACCATTTTCTTGAAAACAACATTTAAGCGTCCGCTTTACAATTCAAAATGAAATGAGACCATGCTCTGCACCTGTACAAACTGAAACCAGATACGGTTTACTTATGTTACTTAGGTACGGGGAACTGAGGCGCTATCAAATTACCAGTGTCACCCGCAATATCCACACGCGAACGTTATTAACTTTGAGTCCTCTCACATGTCTGGTATCTCACGAGCGAGTGTGCCAGGGTGAATTATTATTATTATTTATATTTTATATTTATCGCAGTTGTTGAGCAGAGGTCCAGCGTTTCCAAAGTGCCAAGTGACCAGCAACGAACAGCACTGTTAATGTTGCAATGGATGAGAGTCGTCACACTTCTTGAATTGAGCAAGGTCATACTAACTTGGGGGGTGAAACAGAATATGGGAATTAATTCTAAAGTGGAGGAGTAAAGGAAAAAAAGATGTGAGATCTTACCTTGGAATGAATTCTAAAGTGAAGGAGTGTGAGGGTAGAATGAGATGCGAGATCTTACCTAGGAATGAATTCTAAAGTGAAGGAGTGTGAGGTAGAATGAGATGCGAGATCTTACCTAGGAATGAATTCTAAAGTGAAGGAGAGTGAGGGTAGAATGAGATGTGAGATCTTACCTAGGAATTAATTCTAAAGTGAAGGAGTGTGAGGTAGAATGAGATGCGAGATCTTACCTCGGAATGAATTATAAAGTGAAGGAGTGTGAGGCAAGAATGAGATGCGAGATCTTACCTAGGAATGAATTATAAAGTGGATGAGTGTGAGGCAAGAATGAGATGCGAGATCTTACCTAGGAATGAATTCTAAAGTGAAGGAGTGTGAGGTAGAATGAGATGCGAGATCTTACCTTGGAATGAATTCTAAAGTGAAGGAGTGTGAGGTAGAATGAGATGCGAGATCTTACCTTGGAATGAATTCTAAAGTGAAGGAGTGTGAGGTAGAATGAGATGCGAGATCTTACCTCGGAATGAATTATAAAGTGAAGGAGTGTGAGGCAAGAATGAGATGCGAGATCTTACCTAGGAATGAATTATAAAGTGGAGGAGTGTGAGGCAAGAATGAGATGCGAGATCTTACCTAGGAATTAATTCTAAAGTGAAGGAGTGTGAGGTAGAATGAGATGCGAGATCTTACCTAGGAATGAATTCTAAAGTGAAGGAGTGTGAGGCAAGAATGAGATGCGAGATCTTACCTAGGAATGAATTCTAAAGTGAAGGAGTGTGAGGGTAGAATGAGATGCGAGATCTTACCTAGGAATGAATTATAAAGTGAAGGAGTGTGAGGTAGAATGAGATGCGAGATCTTACCTAGGAATGAATTATAAAGTGGAGGAGTGTGAGGCAAGAATGAGATGCGAGATCTTACCTAGGAATGAATTCTAAAGTGAAGGAGTGTGAGGGTAGAATGAGATGCGAGATCTTACCTAGGAATGAATTATAAAGTGGAGGAGTGTGAGGCAAGAATGAGATGCGAGATCTTACCTAGGAATGAATTATAAAGTGGAGGAGTGTGAGGCAAGAATGAGATGCGAGATCTTACCTAGGAATGAATTCTAAAGTGAAGGAGTGTGAGGGTAGAATGAGATGCGAGATCTTACCTAGGAATGAATTATAAAGTGGAGGAGTGTGAGGCAAGAATGAGATGCGAGATCTTACCTAGGAATGAATTCTAAAGTGAAGGAGTGTGAGGGTAGAATGAGATGCGAGATCTTACCTAGGAATGAATTATAAAGTGAAGGAGTGTGAGGCAAGAATGAGATGCGAGATCTTACCTAGGAATGAATTATAAAGTGAAAGAGTGTGAGGGAAGAATGAGATGCGAGAACTTACCTAGGAATGAATTATACAGTGGAGGAATGTGAGGTAAGACGGAGATGCGAGAACTTACCTAGGAATGAATTATAAAGTGAAGGAGTGTGAGGGTAGAATGAGATGTCAGATCTTACCTCAGAATGAATTCTAAAGTGAAGGAATGTGAGGTAAGACGGAGATGCGAGAACTTACCTAGGAATGAATTATAAAGTGAAGGAGTGTGAGGGTAGAATGAGATGTCAGATCTTACCTCAGAATGAATTCTAAAGTGAAGGAATGTGAGGTAAGACGGAGATGCGAGATCTTACCTTGCTGTTCGATCGTTGAACACAGCATGGATGAGACGAAATGGTCGATCTGTTAGACTGAGGCTTCAACATGGGGCGGAGGAGCCAATGCGATCCATGGGGCGAGGAGCAGCCATAACAGTCGCGCTCGAATTGCGATACGGCGGCGACCGGCCATCGGTGAGCGAGTGACCGGAGTGAATCAGTGCGTGCTGGATCACCAATCAACCTGACTTTCTCTATGGTGATTTCAACCGAGCACCGATTCAACCTGGCCCTGACGGCCCCGGTGGAAGTCTCCTTACCCTCTGGGAGCGAAACCTGCCACAACACAGCAGCGGCAGCGAGCGAGCGAGCGAGCGAGCGAGCTTGTGCACGCAGTGACCAAAGAGGCAACGCGGCTCACCGGCGGTCAGCCGAATGGGCAGGCTGCGGAGTCTGCCCGCGGCGTTCTCCGCCGTGCAGTAATAGGTGCCGTCGTGGAGGCTGGGGCCGGCGCTCTTCTCTCCCGTCATGGGCAGCAGCTGCAGGGAGCCGTTGGGATGCAGCTGCCGCACGCCCAGCGAGTCGTGCACCTCCTCGGACTCGTCGCTCGCGGGGCTCCCCAGCTCGCGGTACCACGAGATGCGAGCGCTGGGCGTTCCGGACACCGGGCAGGGCAGGAGCGTGCCCGCCGGTGCCAGAAAGGTCACCTGCTGGGGGAAGCCGGCCGCGTAGTGCAGGCTGGGGCCCACCTCATTGCTCCGTGCTGTGACACAAACGGACACAGCATGCCATGGAGAGGGCCCTCTCAGAGGAAGCTCTCGGTTAATTTTACATTTAATACGCAGTGCATTAACCGCTGCCGTGTGTGTTAGGTTAGCACCCTGGATTTGATTGGATTCCCCGACGCGGCGGTTTAAACTACGGTGCAGGTTTCACAAATCCCCCACCAGCTCTGTCCACACAATCGATCGTCAAGTCGCATATGGAGGGGTAAAATGTCGGTGCTCCCCCCACCTGTTCCAGAACATCTGACCAGCGTGGAAGCGTAGGCCAAACTCGCCTCTGGAGGCAATATCTAGAGCGCTCTCAAGTGGAGACCCTTCCACCAGCAATGGCATGAGCAGGATATTCCAGGGCTGCACCTGTATCTTTTAACTTAATTTACTACGCGTGTGAATATATAGTTTTTAATATCCCAGCGATGCAATATATATAAAAGCAACGCGTGTTTTCAGAAATTAATATCATGATTAATGGATTAATCTATCCAATGTCTGTTTTTGACCATGATAACATTTTACAGATGCCTTGGTATAGGAAACCCCTTTTGTGCTATCCTTAGAATCTATAATACCGATAATTCTACTGCAGGCTTGATGTCCTCACAGAAGACCTAGTTGTAACTCTTTTTTAAATAAACATGCACCAATGGCATGTTAATGTGAGAATAGGGTCATATATTTTAGCTTCCTTCAGGCCGTTTTTTATGATTTGAGCACAAAGAATCTCACTGCTCTATCGGTAGCATTATAGAGAGAAGCTGTATCATAAAAAATAACCAAGGTGAAGACCGCTCAATAAGAAAGGAATGTTTGTTAATTCTTAAAATTCATATATCTTCCTGAATGTTTTTTTTACAAATGTCACGGTACCAATGTGGTGAAGTATACAGAGACGATGCCATATGAACTAGTTCACGATATTTATGACATTAAATGGCATAATTGTGGCCACAAAAATTGTATTTTCCATTGACGACACCTACTTTTTCTCTTTCATAAACATAATCCTTAAACCAAAGCATGAAAGTTAAATGCACACATGTAAACATATTGTAAGCCAGTCAACTGCAATGTTGTTTTAATTAAGGGCATAATTGCTTAATCAAATAACCATACATTGAGATTGTAGAATAAATATAAAGAACCAAGAACATCACCACATGCACATTGTCAAGGCCATTACTATAGCATTGCATTCCCTTTGCAATCCCGTCAAGAGAGATCAAATGTGTGATAATTAGTATGTGCTGAGGACACGCATAATGACGCGTATGATGTTTAATATTAATTTATGAAATTATGAGAAGCAGCTCAGCAAGGCGTTGAGTATTTACATTTACAAAGCAAGTATCATTAATTGTTCCTTATAAATAGATTAAGCCCACATTCTCACCCATGGTCCCGTCGACGTAACGGCACAAGTACGGCACCGAACAGCAGAGGCACTTTATGAACGTGGAGCCCACCACCACCACCGCCGCCGCCGCCGTGGCTAAATTTACGGGCAGCCGTCACACATCAGTGGCGTGCCGTGCATCACTAAGATGATCGAAATTTTTGGCTCAATTAGTGCTGGGTTATTTGGCCAAACCAGAATGTTAAGTTATTTTGGATTCGCAGTTCTTAACGGGGGGGTGGGGGTGAGGGGGATGGGGGAACTGTGGTGGTGGTGGTGGTGCGTTGTGTACCCTGGACGACCTGAATGAGTTTCCCAGCCGTGGCCACAATCAACGGCGAGAACCTTTGAGCCGGTACAACAAAACTATTCACCAGCGTAGGGTAAAACAACTACTGTGACTGATATGGCAAGGGGTGGCTTCCATCCATGGATTCACAAAGGGCTGTAAAATAATATTATTAATTATTATACATGAGAGAGAGAGGGGTGAGTGCTGAATAGTGAGTCCAATAGAGAGTGAGCTTTTAAATGTTATATTTTGTAACCATACGTGTCATAACAGAGGGCTCATAGGAATATAATCGGTCGTATAACAACAATAAAAAACGGGCATGTGAAATCAATTAAATAATATATAGCCTGCTGCATGTGTGTCACATAGCAGTGGCTAAGTATTCATCATGTGAGTGTACCAGAAATGGAATACAAATATAAATGTCACGCTTAATAATACCGAAGTTTGTATTGGCCTGAGGTCACTGTCAAGAAATGCAATGTCAACGACTGAGTTAGCAACGAGAACAGTTGAACTCGTGTTATAATGAAGTTTCTCATGTCATATATTTCAATAACAAAAACACCAAAAAAGGCGTTGCCACATAAAGAACACGCACTTAAAGATCATTGTTAAGCTTTGCGAGCCAAAATATTATTATTTTCATCCGATGACCGAATCACCCGGAATGCACTCAATCGCATAAGATCTTGGAAGCTAAGCAATTTGGGTGACCACTATGCAAGAGCCAGTTGTCAAAGGGGCTTCCGAAGGAAGTGCGGTCAAATACATTATTGTGCCGTACTTCTATGCTCCCACATATACGCTCATCTCATTCAACAACCCACAATGACTAGTATGATAAAAAATAACCCCAACGAACCCACACGGCGTGGTGAGGCCCTCAACCATCAGCGGCTTGACAATGGAGACTGTACACGCCACATCAATATTAGCATTTTGCATAGCTCTAATAAAAAAAGGGCCGTGCTTTCCAAACGATATCCTCCAGAGAGGAATGGCGCTGTTGTGGCTCGTGATTGGGGGAGACGACAACAACAACAACAAAACCAGAGTGTGTTTTAGTTTACCAGTGGGTTTATGCTTCATTGGTGTAAAACCCAAAATGCCGCAGAGCACTGGAGGGACGAACAACGGTTGCGGGAAATAAAATAAAAATAACAAGAAAGAAACAACCCTCAGTTAACATTAACAAAAAAGTGCTGGCTATGCATGCGTTGGTTTGCTATTGATGACATTCATTATGCATTCAGATGGGGGGTGGGGGGAGCGGTGTTTAATTTTTTATTAGCCCACCAAGCTCCAGCAACAAAACCTGCCGGCGAAGTCACAGCTCAACATTATTTCATGTCACCCCCCTACCCACCACCAAGGCACCCGAGTCCCGCTACGAGCCGAGGCAACAGGCTTCAAATTATATATATATTTAATATTAAATAAATGCACCAAAGTTTAAGCTCTTCAAAGGTTGAGCGATCTGTTTTGTTTGCCGCGCAGGTTAAATAAATGCTGATGCAAGGAACACATTTTCGACGGCGCATGCGGTCCACCTTGTGTCCCAGAGCTCACGTTTGTACGCGTGTTCAAATTGCAAAAGGTTGCAGCCCTGCAACGTCTCGCTCACGCCACTGCAGGTGGAAAGGACCTCCAAATCGACAGAGGATATGATGGAAAAGCCTACACGCCGGCCGGATACCTCGAAAGAGGTGGTGGTACTCACACTTTACCCCACCACAAGCGGCCAGCCAATCAATTGTGTGCACCCATACATATATATCTCTCACTGTTGCTGAGTAGGGGGAGGCGACGCGGTGTGAGATACTCACCCGCAGTTTCAGATGTCTCACGGGGTTATATGAACCGGTAAAACCGACCCCTGGATTGCAAGGCTGGAGTGTTATTACACACCACGACAGCATCTACGTACATTTACGTAAGTATAGGTGTAAATGTGTATATGCATAAAAAAAACACATTAAATTGCCCCGTGGCACACCACGTCGAGAGGATCAGAGTCAAGGATGGAAAAGTAATTAGGACAACATTTGGCCATGGATCAGGAAAGATGAGGATATGGACGGAGAAGAGGCTAAACAAGGGACCTTGATGCTGCAGGGAGCGGTGTGCGTTTTTGCAGGGGGCGGGGAGAGGGGAGGGATTGAGAGTGGGGGCGGGGGTGGCCACACAGAAGCCACTTTGATTCACGGGAGGTTTGAGCCGATTTCAGACATATAGATCTACAACAATGAAGTGTGGTATGATAATTTCTGCTCTAAAAAGAGTGGAATTGGAATAAATTACATGCCTCGGAATCATTGACTGCGTTAATAATCGTGTAGGTAGTACATAGCTATTAAGACATATCATGTCCACCGCAATCATTTCATGTAACATCCAAAAACTGCTTCAAAATGTCTACATTTTTTTAAGCCTCTTAAATTCCTGGTCTCCATTTTGGGATAATTGTGCTAAAATGTCTCCTTTCACTTGACAGAGTAAAGGTTACTTACTATATATTTGTGTTCACACGTGCACACACACTCATACATGTAATCACAAAAAACTAAAATTCCCGGCATAGGCAAATATATATACATACACAAGTGCTTTTGATTTAAAGCTTTCGTGACTGCAGGGATTCATATTCTTGGTTCTTTCGGTAAAGTCACGTAGAAGGGAAACAATAAAATAATAAAAATATAAATTGTATTGTTTATTTTTTTATTTTTTTATTGTTTCCCTTCTACGTGACTTTACCGAAAGAACCAAGAATATACACGAGTGCTGTTAATGAGGACGTAAATAAGGCCGACACGGCACAAGGTGGTGTGGTGTGGGCATGCCTGGCAACACCTTGTCTTCCACAAAAACGAAGATCCCCCTCCCATATTGCCTTTTCGACCATTAGGACCTGTCAGAGATGGTGTGGCTAGTGCCACGCCCAGGCAATGTCCATCTCCCCCAATGCTGATGCTTACATGCTACACTCAACTTGACTCCACCTTTCGCAGGCCCCAGCCAAATAGTGACACAAAAGTTCTGTTGATCTTAGCCGTGGCTAGGATTTGAACTCATACGACACCCCATCCACGCACATGAACACACATAAATATATACACACACAGTTGTCTATAGTATTTCTACTTCATATGAACACACAAGTATACAGTTATAATAAAGTAGTCACGACTTATATGTGTGAAATGTATTACTCTGTGTTGCCTGGGTCATTCAGCTTGCAAAAGCATTAATAGAAAAGACACCGCATGCCAATTAACATAATGCAA